ACTGGCAGGTACCCAGAGCCGACCGTCTTCAAGGGTTGAGTTTCCGATCCCTCCACTCCATGGGTTATTGCTCCACGTGCATGGAAGACCAGCAGGGATGAGGAACACTGAGCCTCGGCAAAGAGCAACAGAGACAGGCTGGATAAACTCAAGAAAGAAGAGTTTTGGAGCCAACAGAAAACGGCCATTGCAAGAAAACCAGGGCTGGGCGGCCAAGCAAAGGCCAACCATGCCAAGGTTTAAGCTGCTGTCTCTTACAACCAAATACAACTGTGTTTCATCTATTTGCATGATGGCTAAGAGATCTAGCAATACACCTGCAGCTCAAAAACATCATAGTATTTATAAAATGAGCAATATTAGCCAAGCTGTCTATTGCAGTAAACAGCAACACAGAGTGCCACATGGTAGGTGACACTTTGGTAGCTGGTGCCACCCTTCAGGGAGCACAAGACTATTGGGGCAATATAGAGAGGAAAGCCCTTTAATGATGGCGCTTGAAGGAAGTCTCTCTGGGTCCCCACGCACAGTCCCTTGGCCAGGACCAAGGACCATGTGCAGCTTCCGATGTTGCCTGGTTCCATCGGCTCCAACAGTTACAGCAGAGGCAGTTTGTCCCTGTTGCTCCTGTCCCCGGCCTCTCCATTACCTTTGCCCAGGCAGCCCCACTCCTTGCACCCAGGGCACAAACAACATGAGCATCTGGGGACTGAGAATTTGGAGCCACACAGAACAACACAACCTCGTGGAAAACACCTAAGAGAGCAGGACGATGCCGCCTTGCGTGGAAAGACAGGGTTTCATTCTCCGTTGTTCCCAGGCTACATGTAAACCAGGGCTTGGAAAGCAACTGCCCACGAGTCCCAGCACAAGAGGAAGCGAGAGGTGCAGGAGCAAGAGCACCTCAGGGTTCAGCACCCCCCGCCAGGCCGGGTGACTGACCGTGTCCTCGGGGGGTCTCCCCCTCTCCAGCTGCTCCCAGAACCAGGGAGGAAGCCCAGGGCTCCTCTGGGGCTGGGCAGACCCAGGACTCGTGCCCTGCACCACGCTCTGCCTAGCGCTGCCCTCGTTCACATGAGGACACCGGAGCCTCCCATCAATGCGCACGGCTGGAGCTCGACCTGCAGCCTGGAACAGCAGCTCCCAGCTCCGCGGGGCCGGCAGCGCGAGCAGCGTGAGAGCCGGCAAGAAAACAAACATCCCCTTCTTTATTAGCACCATATGGGGCTATTTTGACTAGACGCTAGCACTACAAGAAACTAAATACGGTGGAATTTCCAGAACGAAGCTCTTTGTTTCACACGAGGCTGCCAGCGCTTCCTACTCACAGCGTCTGCAGGGAAAGGCGGGATCGGGAATTGCCTCCGCGCGTGGGCATTGCTGGCGGGCAAGCGGCAAGGGCACGGGCAGCGATGGCAACAAGTGACACCGTTATAAGCTGGAAGGTGCCTGAAATTGAGCCCCTCGCTGCACATCCTCACACCAAGGTCAGGCTCGAACGCTGTAACTGATAATTTCCTAACTGTAACTAATATTTTCTATAGAAATAGGGTTTTCATTAATGCAGTTCTCTGGCACTTTGATTAATGTCGTTTCTGCTAAGTGTAAGCAACAAGCTACCTCTTAACTTCTGGGTCCTTCAGTTTTGATGACAGATATTCCCTGCAGTCATGAGATTAATCAACAAGGTTTTAATAAGGAAGACTGATGACTTTTTTGATCTCTTTGATTAGTTTTTTTCCCCCAAAAGCTCAGCTGACAAAACATCACAGAATCACTATCAACAATAAAGTTCTCTCCTATCGGCCTGTTTTTGCACGAAGAGTGAGAGCAACTGCAAAGCTGCTACCTTCAAGACAACGGAATGTTACCAAAATAATAAATAAAAATGTGCTTATGGGGCATGTGTTTCCCTCCACAGTCACAGGCAAATCACGAGGCATCGGTGCCTCTGCTCGTGTTCACACCTTGTGGACTCACAAAAAGAGGCTTCTAAGAATTTCTTTTCCTTGCCCCGTTTTTAAACCCTGTTTTTTACCCCAGCTACAACCATGGCCGCCAGAAGCCAAAATCCTTCCAAGATGCCTTTGCACGGGACAAGGTGGAAGCTGAGAGTGAGACCTTGGAGGAAGGACACCAACATGTGCCCCATGTTACTGAAAAGGCCACGTGGGTGAAAGCTCAGCCCTGCTCACAGACAGCCCCAAGCCCAGCTCTGCGAGCCGCCCTCCAGCTGCATTTCCTCCTGGGGTTTCAAAGCAGGTCACTTCATTCCAGACATTAGGAAGGGCACCTAAAGGTTACACATTCAGAGCCAAACTATTACTTTACAATGAATCTTTTCTCACTTGTAATCTAGTAAGTGTCTTTGCTACTGAGGCTGAATTTTAGCATTTTAACACTCCGCAGAGGGTCACAGGCTCCTCCTGGGCAAAAACACCAGTAAACCCAAATACACCAAGCACTTGACTAGTCAACATTTCCTTAAGGTGATGCCAGTGATGGCTGCAAGGGGGCTTAGAATTACCTCGCTTGAGGATCCAGGTATTGCACCTAGAAGAGCAAATTATGCTCCACCTATCCAAAGATGAATAATTCACAAAAAAATAACCGAGTAAGGTTATTTCCCTTCATTTCCATGCCAGTTAACCCATTATTACAAAAAATCAGGGGTCAGGACCACTGCTGGCACACGAGCGTGCACACACCAATAAGAGCCCCTTATCCCAAGCTCTGAGCCGTGTCTCACATCAGAGAGTTTTGGGAAGGCAAGGAAGGAGCACGGGGGCACGAACATCCCAACGCCCCCGGTACCTCCTGCTCCTCTCCAGGAGGCACACAGTCATTCAGAGCACGGAGGAAATGGAGTTTTCTGCCTCGTTAAGGGGCAGACTTAGCTCACAGAAACCACAAAGGGAGAGTGAGAGCAGGAATCTACTCTTTCTACCTGTTTACTCCTGTTCTCTTTTAAAGTCTTGCCACAAACATGTCTTTTTACTTGCTGCGTATTTTACAGATTTAGAACATAATTTAGTGTAGGTCTGAATTCAGGAGAATATTTTCTTACCCCATCATTACACACCATGTAACTGTCTAATTTTTAAAAGATCCATATGTAACATATATTAATAGTACTATTCAAATCCAATCTGCTTTAAACCTCAGAAATGTTGTGTCTGGCAGGGAAACTGCTGCACATTTGTTCCTTATTTAATATTATTCACAAAGTTTTGGGCACATCAAAGTCTATTATAAAAATCTGTCAGAAAAGATTGCCATAATTGATTAACGAAGCAAACATGGCCAGAATTCAAAGCCAAAGCATATACATCACTCTGCATTTTCAATTAGCGCAGAAAAGGCAAGCAGATCTGTGAGTCCCTTGTGCCTAATAACGGGGCTGCGATTTGCTGGTCCTGCTGTTCTGTGAGGTGAAGGACTGCAGCACTAAGAACGGCTCTTGTCTCTCAATCCACAAGCCTGGAAAGGCAAAATATCCCCAACTCCACTGATTATCCGACCACGTTTGTCTGCAAGGGCCAACAGACTCGGAGCCTGACCATATCGATCTGTTCTTGGCAGCTTCTGTCACACATTACTCCTGTCTCCTCCACACTTGTCTTTCGGTGACTTTCCTGTTCTCAGCACCATCTCCTCATTCTTCACTGAAGGGAAGCAAAATAGCAACTGTTCCTCCTACCACCATATTTGCTTCTTCCCCCTTGGGGACCTTTACATTAATGCTGAACGGGCTATGGACCAGAGCAAGGCTGGGGGGGACTCCTTGATAGGACGCTTAAAAACCATCCAGGTCTAGAAACGAGCAGCAGAGCTGAGCCAGGAGCATCTGTACGGGGAAGCGCAGAAGCACTGCAGAAAACAAAAGCCCTCTGGAAACAGCTTCCCTGCTACCTCATCTCCTCCTGTCCTCCTCCTTTCCCAGGTACCTCCAACAGCAGCCATCGCTGGCCAGGAAACTCAAAAATCCCAACACTCAGATCAAAGGAGTAAGTTCTTCCCCTTCGAGGGGCCAAGGGCGAATTAAGAACAACCTCTGAACTCGCTAAGAGACTGTTAGTTGTAAATAGATATGAAAATAGAGATTTATTCACAACAGTGCTGTCATACTGACCCTTAGAAAGCTTGAGGTGAGGGGCTAGGAGATACAGGAAGGTGCAGCAGACCCAAGGCGTGAAATACTGGCAGAAGGGCTCTAGGGAAAGGAGCTGAAAATAAAGGGAAGACACAAGCTGTAAAACAGAGAGGAAGAGAAAGCAGTGAGACAGAAAAGCAGCAGAGGCATCAAAACCATCACACAAACCAGCATGACATGAACTGAATCGCTGCTGCAGGACTGCGCAGGGCTCTGCGAAGGGGAGAGCCCGAGGGCAGGTCCTCTGAGGCAGCTGCCATCCATCTGTCCATCCATTCATCCATCCATCCATCTCCCACCCCTCGACAGGGTCTGTCCCTGTAACATTTGGTGCCAACGAGTAGGGCAACTCCTCGTGCCAAGCGCCCCAGGAGGGCTGCGGGTGCTGCTGTCGTGCGCCGGCACCGACGGCCTCTCTCCGTCCCAGTTTTCCGTTCCCGCTCCCGCGCTGCCATCTCTGCCCTCATGCCAGCACACGGAATCAGGGAGGGAAGCAGCAAGTTGAGGCAGGCAGAAATCCAACTTGGGTGGAGCAGGATTGAGGAGATGGGTTTAAATCTGGATCAGTTCTCAGGTCTAATTCCCACAAGAGTATTTGTGCCAGCAAAGAGGCCCGGGCCTTAAAATGACCATGAAAATGCAGAGCCCAAGGAAAGGAGGGCAAGATCTGCACAGAAAAGCCCCTCTTTACAAAAATCTAACAAACACGAAGTTTTAAAACAACACTGTTTAACCTTTGCAAGGACCATGGACACTGGAGAGTCTTTCCAGGTTTTCCACTGGGATTTCCTCCCTGCAGAGGACTGAGCTGAAAGAACATCCATACACAGAGTTGCTGCTCCCATACCTGCAGGTCTGGGTCTATATTGATCCGGTAAGCTTGGGCCTTTCCATCTTCTAGCACAGGAGGTGACCAGGTCTTCCCTTCAGCTCTACAATGGAAAATTAAAGAATTTGAAATCAAATGTATTTAAGAAGGAAAAAAAAGCTTTTCCCCCTTCCCAAAATAGCAGCAAGAACTACAAACCGAAACACAGAAGGGTTTATACAAATGACTTCCAGCAAGAGGGCTCGTGCCACCCTGCCCCAGTGCCGACCCTCCCAGCGCAGGCGCGGACGGAGCAGCCCCCCGCACAGTTTCCATTCCCAAACGCATCCTCGGAGCTGCCAAGCCAGAGCGGAGGCTGCCGCTGCCCCGCGTTGCTCTGCGCTTGAGCACGTTTTTCCACAGAGTGTCTCAGTACAGTTGGGATTAGATCACTACCATGTGTCTGCTCTGCTCCACGCGTAGGGCACGTAGGATCTGCTGCTCCCATTTGCTGCCTTTTCATTTCCAGTGGACAGAGGGAGTTGCAGGGGCCTGTGCAGGGTCTAACACACTTTTGCACAGGCATTTCTGGACACAGAGATCTCAAATGTTATCAGAGCTACTAAGGAAGTCTTGGCAATTTGGGAATTAAGTGCCTCAGGCTGAAGTTCAGCATCTCTGCCGAGCCCAGGGATCCTAGAGAAGCTGCAAGAGACCAAATGCTGCGTGCAGAAGAGCAGCACATTTGTGAATGAGCTGGTGAAAGTGTTTTACCTGTGGGACAAGAGCTATTCCTGCATGGAAAAACACCTTCCCCTCCCACACTGCCTGCTGCCATCCAAGTGCACAAGGCAGTGCATTTCCCAAAACAAAAGGGCTTTTTTTCCTCTGCAAAATAGCACACTAGAAACCCCCAAATCTCTCAAAATAAGGGGACCAGCCCCCAAGCTTTGCACTCCCTTCTGCCAGAGGGGCTGCCAGCACTCCAGGACACTTTTTTCAGCCCACTCATTCCAATCAGAGGGAATCTCTACTGCATTGAGGTGGAAGAGGGAAATCAAAAGCTCAAAACTCAGAACACTAATTGTCCAGGTTAATCTCAGAACCTGTGTGCTTGGCACTTAAGCAAAACCGAGTTCTTGTTGTCCCAGGTACAGGCAGCTTACGGAGCCAGGGATCCCTTCTGCGGACTCTGGCCCCTACCACACACCACATTCAACCACATATTAATTATCTGCAGACTCCAGGTTTGAGGGGGGAAAAAAAGCAACATTTTAGCGCAGGAATCTCCTATGTGAATTTTTACCTCCAGTATTCTCCTTTTAAGCCAGTCAATGCATTAAACCTTTACAAATCAGGATCTGATACAAAGCCCATTAAAGCTGAAGCTTCCCACTGGATTTAATGCCCTTTGGCCCTTTTTGCTTCTATTTTTCCCGAATCACCAATCGCTACCACAATCATAGTTTGTTTAATGATAGTCACGGCTTTTTCAGTAAGGAAGAACTCACTTTTCATTGCTTGTCTTGTTCTGATAAACTATCTTTACTTCGTAATCATTTAGGTTTTGGCCAGGGTTCTGCTTTTCGAATTTGCCTTTCACACTCTTCTTTTAAAATTGGGATACAGGAAACCAATCTTCCCAGAAATGACACCATTGCTAACAAATCTAACTTGATTTTTGCCCTGAGCTGGGGCTGTATACATTGCTTCCACATCAAGAATTTCATCTGGAGGCCCAGAACAATGAAAATGCCTAATTGCATTGGCAGAGACCGCGGTTATTATTTCTGTGCTTTTTCCTCTTGCGCCGAATGAGCCCCATGTTTGCTCACGCTCCCGACAAGTCAGACAGCTCTGACGTTCTCGTTCCGATCTGCCCCAGGGACCGGGTGCCAAATACAGTTTAAAAGAATCCCTAAAGATTTTAATTTGCCAGTAAATGAGAAAGGAAGAGTCATAAAATGTTTTTGATTCTAGAAGATTAAAAACGATGAGCAACAATAAATTCCTCTCACATTAGGCCAAGGCATTCAGCCCTCAGTCCCAGGCAGCACTTTCAAGCTAAAATCTCCCAGTTTGCTGTTCCTGACAAAGAGCTCACACTGTCTGCACCAGAAAACGACTCGACTTGTTTTTCAAAATTAGAGATTTCTTCCTGCTTTATGAAAGACACGGTCAGATTTTCAGTCATGGTTGCATGTAAAAAACCATTCAGTTGGGGCTTTTTAATGATTAAACTCAGCAGCCTCCCCCCAGCAGCCGCCCCATGCTGGTGTTTGGGTACAAGCTGCAGCCTTCTACCCCTTCCACCAAATCCCAGTGCAGGAAGGGCCTGGACGGAGTCAGGGAGAGCTCTGCTGGGAGTAGGGCTGGGAATGTTCAGGGAATGAGCTGGCTCCAGGGAAAGCAGCACCTCGCAGCAGCAATGTCGGTGCAACGGCTGCCAGGACAGCGCCAAGAGAACAGCCTTCCTGGGCGAGCGCCAGGCCTCCAACGTGTGGCTTTTTGGAACAGACCTATTAAGACGACATAATTAAAAAAATAAAGAAAATTGCAGACTCCTTTTATCCCACAATTTGTTTTCTAAAAGCTTCAATGTCATTTTCCAAAAATTACTTGCATATGAGCCGGCATTTTCCCCGAGTGTTTTTTCACCTGGTAATCATCTGGACATCCTGCTCTGCATTTACAGAGCTGCTTTTAGGCTGCAAAGATTCCTGTGCCTTACCGAATGCCTAATTTCTGCATCCCCTTATAAACTAACATCTAGCTTTAGGGCAAAGCGCCCAGGCGAACAGGTGGGAACAGGACAACAGCTGCACACAGCGCCCAGGAACTGCCATTTCACCGAGTTTCACCCCAAAATGTTCAGCCATGTCTGGGGGTGGTGTCTTTAGCCCGTGCCCTGCAGCCCACCCATCCCTGATGACGCTGCAACTAAGGCAGTGACTGAGGTGCTCCCTGTTACTCTGATGGGCACACCAGCCTTCCAGAACCAAACCAAGCCCAGAGGATGCTGCAGCCAATGTTTGGAGTTCTCCAAAGTTATGAGCTTCCCAGCAGCAAGCTGGTCTGCCCCGTGCAGCACATAACGCTGCTTGTGGATGTCGACAAGGGGGTTAAGGCTCTGCACAGCCGGTGCAGAGACGATACACAGACCTGCCTGCAGCTGGTGAGTCACCCGCAGGGATGGCTAAGGAGGAGCCACGGGATTTCGGGTCTTCTTGGCTACAACTGGGCTCCTGTAGCGGGCTTGGGAAAGCTGGAGGGTTCTTTCTGCGCTGTCCTCGAGGAGCTCCAAAGGGGAAGCTCTGAATCACTTTTGAGTCGCGCTTTTGCTGGAAACCGGAGGACACCGCATGATAACACACCCCAGACTCCCGCAGCGTCGCTTGCGGTGAGCATGCCGCCTCACCGGAGGCTCCCTGGAAGCACCGAACATGGACAGACCTCAGGAAAGCAGAGCATGAAGGTCCGAGGGCCTTTGGGGCCACATTTCCAGGACAAACGGGCCTTCTCTTGCTGAGGACTTAAATTTCCAGAGAAGTACCATCACTGTCAAAAGAGCTTATTTAAATGCAAAAACTTGGTGAACAAGTTCCCCAGCGGGACCGCAGGGAGCCCTCCTGGCAGCCTGCGAGCTCCACGAGCTGCCTGGGTAACTGGGGAGCCAGAGCTGGGTACAGATCCTTGTGCAAGGTGCGACTTACAGCTGCGAGCAAACACAGCGACCCGCGCTGCCCCGGCTGCCAGGCACAGAATCCCAGGACAGCTGAGGTTGGAAGGGACCTCCAGAGATCATCCAACCCCCTGCCCAGCAGGGACATCCAGAGCACGGTGCACAGGGCAGCATCAGGCGGGTTTGAAGATCTCCAGAGAAGGAGCCTGCACAGCCTCTCTGGGCAGCCTGTGCCAGGGCTCTGGCACCCTCACAGTAAATGAGCAGTGACTCAGCTCTACCTTCATCAAGGCTCTTGAGACAGTTCTAACACGACTGAGGCCGGTGTGCGCTGCAGTCAAGGCACCGTATCACTGCCATCCGCAGAGGAATTGCCCTTTCCTGACTTCCGCACACCGGCTTCTTCATTCTCAGAGCAAAACAGCCCAATGCTGGGCAGGGATTTTACTCAGCCACCAGCCAAGAGGAGGAGTCACCATAACACAATAAGTTCGCAACACGGTGCTCTTAACACAAATGCTTTTCTACCCTTAAAAATACTCAATTTGAGACAAAAAAAAGAATAATGCAAGTAGTACATTTGTTTTCTTAACATAAAGCCACATGGATGTAACTGCACACCAAGGTACCTTAGCATCCTTGCACTCTATAGGAATATGCACATGTTAAGAGAAGAGGCAGAAAAAGGACATTTCCTTCCCTATACAGAGCTTCTTCATGTGCATAACCAGGAACCAGCTGCCTGATGGGAAGAGGCTCCAGTGAGGTTTTACTGCATGATGATCTTAATCTGCACATTCACATTATTTAAAAATCTGAAGTCCCTCCAGGGGCTGGAGGCCTCCAGTCAAATAAACAGCTTGTGATTAAATACTGGGATCTCCGCAAGGCATTTCTTGGAGTAATAATTCCAGGGTGCTTAAAAACAAGCCTCTCCTGAGCAGCTGCTTCTCCCCGCCACCCGCTGTCCCTGTGCGGGTCAGCAAGGGCAGGTGGGCTTAGACCCCAACACCCAACATGTCAGCTGGTTAATAAACCCACATCCCAAACCGTCCTGCTCCATCCCATTAGTGCCAGAAACTGCAACAGGGCCTGAGGAAGATCACATAGAGAACAGAGGTGAGAAAGAGGGAGAGATGCAACCCAAGAGCAGTTGAAGTCCTTGATAAAGGTGAAAGTAGAGATGGAAAAAACATGCTTTAACACAGCCTACATGGGGCCAAGCTGGGAGACATGGTCCTGAAAAGGCCCTGAACGACACAGATGCTTTTAGGAGCCACAGGGAAGCCCTAACACAAGGCAGCTGCAACACCCCCTTCACAGCACAGTCCTCCCAACCAGCCCTATCCCCTGCCTTGGGAAGGACGCACCTAGCTCACACTCCCAGAGGACAAAAAGCTTCCAAGAAACCTTCCTGGCTCCCTTCCCGCTCGGGCACAGACAGGCAGCTCCGGATAGCGCTGCCCCGGACCTACCACGGCGCAC